CAATTTCTCAATAAGAACAGTGAAATAATGAATATACCCTCATATTTAAATAAAAATAGATTTTTTAAATTTCTAATTCTTTAATAATTTATTTGGAACCCGTTTACACTTTTATTTTTAAAATTTTTTAAATTTTAAATAAATTTAATTGGGATTCGTTTGCACTTTTTATAAAAAAAAAAAATTAATTTTTTAATAATATATTTGGGACCCGTTAGTACTTTTTTAAAAAAATTGGGGACTATGATTGCAATTAATTCTTTAACTTTTTATTTAAATATGAGGGTATATTCATCATTTCACTATTTTTTATTATTGAGAAATTGAATGAAAATAGATAGAAATGATGGTTTACGCGAGCAAATGTATAATTAAGGGAGAAAATGGCAAAAAAATAAATAAAAGGTATGGACGTTTGATAGGAATGTAAAATGCATATTTTTCCCTCCTTATTTTATGCACTCGTATGATTATTTTGTATCAAAATATACTTATTAATCTCATATTTTGATTTAGGTAGCAATTTAATGGAGATTGCGTAATTTGGGAGAAATAGGTGAAAATGGACCAAAGTGAAAGGAACTTAAAGGAAATGAAAGTTAAAGGACTAACGTGGAAATATACAAAAGTTTTGTCGAACCAAATGATGAAGATCTGAGAGTGTTAGAAGTCAATTGAATGAAAAAAGAAGTCAAAAGTGATGAAATATCGTCATTTCCAATCGAAAAATTATGCATCGAATTTTCAGTCTTAGTTTGAGACCCATTTTTGATATCGCAAACAATCGAATTTGTTGACACCGACCTCCGAGGTCATTAAGCTCGGATTAATCAGCGTCATTAGTGAAACACGTGTTGAGTTCGGTAACTGTTGACACCGAACTACGAGGTCATTAAGGTCGGATTAATCACCGTCATTAGAGGAGCATATGTTGAGTTCGATGACGCAAGATCGACTTGGATGTAGGTACCTTCTGGGAGAAGCTTGTGTAATCTTTCAAGGCAAGGAAGAATATAATGATTGAAGATCTCTGACAAGGTATATGGGTTACCAATCACAAGGATACACTTAGAAAGGTCTGACATCAGCGTCAACACGATCCTCCAATCAGAAACGTTAACATCCTCCATTAAGTAATGCATTAATTGCTGGGGGTCACTTTCAATTAATGCTATGAAGAAGTCTGACAAAATTCAGCTCAACAACCAATCTAACCTTACCAACCACTGTATTTCCTCAGCTCGGAATTCCAGTGACAAGACAGAGGGTGCAGCATGCATGCACGTTTTCTCTATAAATAGGGATCCCAAGCCCTAAAAAAGGGGATCAGAACAAAAAGAAGAAAATAGGAATACAAGCATACACAAACTCTTAGCATATCTGGATTCTTCAAAATTCAGATATCTCCTACTATTACTAGAAAAGGAAAGGGATTGAATCATATTCTTGTATTCTTGTAAAGTCTTGATCATTTCAATGAGAAATATACGTTTCTTTCATTAAGTTGGCTTGAATATTGTTCATCCAAATTTCAACGTCAACAGTTGGCGTTAGAAGAAGGGCCCCAACTTTGGAAAATAGCCCCGTCTCTCCACAGAATCAACGAACGAGCATAATGGACGAATTTTCAGCATCTGGGAATCACTCCCACACTCGTCCCGAACAAACCAGTAACCCCGTAAACACTGAAAAAGGGGGCCGTAGCGAAACCCTCGATCCTCAAATGATGGCCATGAAGGAAGCCATCGAAAAACTGACAAATGTCGTCAGGAGACTAGAGCAAAGGCAAGCTCAAAATCTACCATCGGACACAGAGGTGGAATTCCCTCGACGAGAAAGATATAGGCAACTTCCCACCAAAAGAACTCTCAATTTCTCAAGTAGAGAACCTTCCAAAGACCGAACTGAAGAGGTCAGAAGTTTCCCTGCCACGACAAAACCAACTGCCAGAAGAACAAACAATGTATTCAACAAGCTGGGTTCCCAACACTCTTTGACGCCCCCACGTAAAGATGATGGGCCATGCAACAACCGCCCTGAAGAACGAGCTGAACCTGAGATGAGTGCTCTCAGGAAGCGCAGCAGACTTGGAAGCCAAAAACAAAGAAGGCAAGGAGGAATACCTCACAAAGAGTCATTCCCCCTTCACTGAGGATATTCTGGCAGAACCGCTACCTGAAAAACTAAAAATGCCACAGTTGACCGAGTACGATGGGGAAGGAGACCCCCTCAGCTACCTAGACAAGTATGCCTCTTGGATGGAGTTACAAGGGGCTGGAGATGCTATAATGTGTCGTGCTTTTCCTTTAACTTTGGGGGATAAAGCTCAAAGATAGTTTAGAAGGCTGCACCAAAGGTCGATAAAAAACTGGAATGACCTCGCCACAGCCTTCCTAGCTCAGTTTATGGGCTCCAAAGCAAGGACCACAACTAAGGAGAGGTTGGTCAGCATAAAGCAGGGAAAAATTGAATCCCTCAAAAACTTCTTGAGTAGGTTCAACAAACAGTCCATGGAGGTAAAAAAGATCTCTGATGACGCTGCGCTAATAGTAGTACTTTCGGGGTTAAGGCCAAGAACAAGATTTTGGTAGTTTGTGCATGGACCTCAGACAAACCACAAGTTCTTAGGTCGAGCTGAAAAATATATAAGTGCGGAGGAAGCCACTTCGGACCAGGAGGATGCAAAGCAAGCCCCACAATCCCCACAATGTGCGAAGGGGAAGCAAACTAACAATGACTTAGGTCGGGAAAAGAGGAAGGACCGAAGGGATCAAGGTCACTCCAGGCCCTATCCCGACAAATTCTGTGAGCACCACCCGTTGAATGCAACTCTAGAGGAGGTCTTCTTGCAAGTAGGAGGGAGAGAGAACTTGAACCAACCTCCCCCTCAGAAAAAAGAATCAATGGGAAAACACCAAGGGAAATACTGTCGTTATCATAGATCGATAGGACATGATACCGACAATTGCCGGAACTTAAAAAGAAGTGGAGTCACTAATTCGGCGAGGTCATTTACAAGAGTTCGTAGCCAAACTTACAGAGGCAAATCCCACAGGGACTCAACATCCTAATCAGCAAAGCATAATGCCTCAAGGCCGGCCAAGACCCCAAACTCACGATACCGAACATCGACCTAAAATCAAAACGCTGATAGGTGGAAACCAATGTCTGGAAGGATCGTGAAGAGCTCGACGCAGAATAGCACGTAATGCTCGCGTATGGCAAAATTACAGTATCGCGCTACCAGAGGTGGAGGTCTACGCCCCCACCATACCCAGAATGGTTTGGATTTTCAGAAGGAGATGCCCAAGGAATTCTGTAAGATTGAAGTGATGCGCTGGTCATAACCATGACTGTTGCGGGCGTACAAATACATCAAACTTTAGTTGACAATGGGAGTTCGGTAAATGTTCTATACTCTAGAACTTTGGAAAAAATGGCAATACTCGAATGGTACCTTCGGCCATATTCCAGAAGATTACAAGGATTCTCAAGAGATCCAATTGAAGCCTAAGGACAAATCGTACTCAATGCGGAGATAGGCAAACCTCCGCGCCAAAGGAGGATCTTGGCGGACTTCATTGTGGTGGACCTACCTTCAAACTATAATGCCATACTAGGGAGGCCTATATTGCATGAGTTGCAAGCCGCCACCTCGATATTCCACTATTGCCTTAAGTTTACTACACCAAGTGGTCCAGGCATGATACGCGGTAATCAGGAAGAGGCCAGAACCTGCAACATTGACTTGCCAAATCCCCAGGTCCGGATGCTGAAAAGCCAATGCTCCCAGCAAGCAGAAGCCTCAAGGTTCAAAAGACCCACATTACCGCCGACCTAACTGAGATCGGCATTACGGCAAAACACTTCAGAAAAACTAACGATGACTTGCTCACGTTCGAGGAAAAAGAAGCAAACACCAACTCTAACCCTGGAGTTTTGGTAATCCCCATGCTTCTATCGAAGGTCGACATCCCCAAAGTCTTGGTAGACACTAGGAGCTTTCTCAACATAATTTATATTAACACCTCCGAACATATTGGAATTCCACTAGGTTTTTTTGCAACCGTACACACACACGATCATGGAGCTTGATGGTATACTTTCTGAGACCAAAGGAGTAATTAAACTCCCTATCGAGTTCGGGGAGTCTCCTCACCGAGCTAAGATGAGTGCAGAATTTGTGGTTTTACACTCAAAGTCCCCCTACGATGCTATCATGGGGCAACCACTACTATTTGAGATTAGGACGATAGTATCAATGTACCGCTATTTTATCAAATTTCCCACTCCTTATGGTACAAGACATGTTAAAGGAAACAGAGATGTCGCTGAAAAATGTCGAATGGTTGTCAGTTCAAACTACCTCCCGAAGACCTGTATGGAATACACCAATGAACCCCCAATGAGCTGGTTGGACCCACGGGTGAAAGTACAAGGAAGGGAACCTATGGAAGATCTAGACATAATTGAGGTCAGTTCGGACGATCTTCCACGAAATCTCAAGATCGGTCATGAACTGCGACCTCCATTACGGGACCAAATCATCAGTTTCCTTCAAGGGAACCTTGATGTCTTCTTTTGGGAACACTCCGATATGAAAAGAATTGATCCAAAGATCATGTGCCATAGGTTGGG